TAAAATACTACATTGGACAAAAACCACTTGCCCTCCGTGCCGGTCTATGTCTCCTAACGTTCCACTGGTGGCCCACATTTGACATCCCGTGCTGGTGCTGTAGGTCGTAGACAGTGAGGCTTTGGCCATGTTATTTCATGTTCTCCTGGCTCCCTTTCATCCCTTATTCTGTTATTTTGGTTCCTCATGCTCCAGATTTCCCAGGGAGTAATTTGTGGAGGAGCTGTCCTGCTCTCTTCTGAGGCCTTCCAGCTCATAATGGGGCTCCCTAGAGCCAACGCCTGAAGCTACTCAGGCAGCTCCCTGCTGTCACTGGCTGCTTATCTGTGTCAGGCTTCTCTTTCCCATTTCCAGCTGGACAATCATTCTTCTGAGAGAAAAGGGGGCTCCCCACCAGAGCAACTCAGTAACAGATGATCTACCCTGGACAACAGCCCCTTCCTTCCCTTGCTCCATTTGGTGCAGTTCAGGAGAAAAGACCTTTTCTGCTCCACCTGCTCTTCCAGGTCCTTCCCCTCTTGCTCCATGCTTTGCCGTCCCTCTTTGTTGGTGTCTGCTCTGAACCTGAGCTCATTGCAGGCTCCTATATGGCCTGACACATTTCTTTGTTCTTTGTCCTTTCTCCTTGACTGAACCCATCCATAGCTTCTTCAATATCCAGTAGGAGAGACTCCCATCTCCCCTGAGGCCTCCTATTCCCTTTTCCCTTTAGCAGGTCTGGCCCTGGGGACTTGGTCTCTTAGTTACCAATTGTTAGAAACTGATCTTCCAAATTCCAGGGTGCATGTTTCCCCTGCTCCTGTTACAAACCCCAGCTGACCGGAGCCCTTTGTCCCTGTCTCCTCCTGATCTCAACCCCTTTTTCTGGAGCTGGTTATTGCAGGCAGCAGCTTTGCCTCTTTTCTTTTCTTTTCTTTTTTCTTTCTTTCTTTCTTTCTTTAATTTGATACAGGGTCTTGCTGCACAGCTTGGACTCATAGTGATCTTCCTGTCTCAGTCTCCCCATGCTAGGATTACCAGCATGTGCCACCGTGCCTGGTTCAAGGGTCAGCACGGCATGGGTATGAGGGATCGAACTTGGGACCTTGCACTTGCCGGGCAGGCGCTTATGCCACTGAACTCTCTCTCCAGCCTGCCCCTCTCTTTTTCTGAGAGATGAAATTTCCAGCACATCCTATTTGATTTCCCCCATGTTGTTCCCTTGGTAGAGGGGACTCCTAGCAGGTGAGTGTTAGCCAGAGGCCTATCCTCTTTGTTTCGCTGGAGTCTGCAATTAAGGAGAGCACCCCAAAGCCTTATATCACCAGGTAGGCAGAGGTCCCTGGGGGGTCCCCTGACTTCTCCCTTTTTAACTTCCCTCCAAAAATGGTTTTCACTGTGCTCTTGAAACCTGGGCTCTCTTCCTGGTGGTGTCCCTTCTCAGTTGGGAAGTCATTCTGTCCCTCACCTCCCTTCAGATATTTTTTTTGGAGGGAAATCATTTGTTACATTTATGCAAAAATCTAGAAATAATATAGAAAACATTCCTCCCCAGTCTGCCAGTCATTTCAGACGCAGGCCCTGGGAATTGTGGAACCATCACGGTCTGCTGTGTGACCTCAGGCCAGACTCCAGGCGTCAGCGTCCTTATCACTAGAAAGGAGAAGGTGATGCTCATCTCTCAGACCCTTTTGGAGGGGACAGCACACTATGGGAGTCTGTCTGTGGCAGGTGCTCTGTGTGGGGTGGTGGCTTCCATCCTGATGTCTTTATCTCACTGGGCCAAGGACACATGGGTTTGCCACTTAGAGTAGCACTAAGGGTCCCCAGGTCATGAGATGATACAGGGTGGTGAGAAGAGACTCGGGGCGGCACAGAGCTCCATCGGCTCTGGCATTCTGATTGCTGTGGTGTGTTTGGTGAAGTGCACTCCAGGCCATGAGGCTGCTCTGTGGGGAGCTTATTTCTGAATGATGTTTTGTCCTGCCTTCCGGGTGGTCCAGCAGATGGAGCTGGATACTGACTCCTTCACCTCCTGACCCTCATCCTCCCCCTTCGCTCCCTGGTAGGGCACATCTAGCCAGGTATTCTCACGTAACAGTGTGCCCAAGTGCAGCCCCATGTGCACATGCACGGGTAGCCCTGCCTGGACCTACCATCCTGGCACTGGTACCTGTCTGCTCAGTCACCAAATCCAAGAATCGCAAGTGGCCTTGGCCTCCCCCTTCACTTCCCATATCCTCCTCCTGTCATGCTCTGCCACTTTCTGCAACTCACACACATCCTGTCCTCCATTCCCGTTCCCCCCACCTGCTCTCAGAGCCTTTCTGTTTCTCCCAAGGATATCAGCAGCCTCCCTAGTGGACGCAGCTTTGAGAGAGACCTTGCCAGAGGTCAGCCTGGTCCCGCATTTTATCCTTAAGCTCTGGGCAGGCTCCTTGCCTCACCTGCCTTGAAAGCACCCTAGGTGTCCTCCTGAGTCCCATCCCCTCTGTCCAGGACATCTGTCCTACCTGTGCCTTTTCTCTTCAAAGATACACATACCTGCCACCAAATTTACGAATGGCTTGAGGAAATACCATACCATGTCTGCCTCAGCATGTTCAGGGTTACTTGTTGGCTGCGTAAGAACAAAGCCCAGTTTTTCACCCTCCAGCCTCCTCAGCTGAGCCGGCGACCATCCCATCAAAACCCCATCTGCTCTGTCTTCCCGAGGTAATGCTCATGTCCCACCGGGAACCCAGCCTTCAGCATGTCCCCCCACCCCCATCCACCCAAACACATTCTTCCCAAAGCCACCTCAACGTCCACTTTCCCCTCCTGAACATTGCAGAGCCCCTGAGTAGCTTGCAATGAGAAGGGAACAGCTGCCACTACCCATGAGCTCCACAGAGACGGCCTTTGGAGGTCTTCTGACAGCATCTGCCATGGCTGCGTGTGAGCAGCCAGTTGCGCGCTGGCCAGCTGCCCTAACCACTGTCCTCTCCTCCCAGCAGAACCAGGCCTTGTGCACGTGACCTCTTTGGCCTTCACCAGCAGCACAGCTGTGTTTTCATTTCCTGTCACTTGGCTATGCCCATCTCTGTGTGGTGCGACTCTGGTTCTGCCCCTACTCCTATACATACTGAGATCCGAGATGCGGCAGTGCATCCTTAGAGCCTCAGTTTTCTCACACATACAACAGAGCACCTACCTCAGCCCAAGGTAAAATAATGTCTGTGAAAAGGGCCCTCTAGTGCTTAGCATATATAACTTTAAAAATATTGGGCCTTAGTAATTCCCCCTCTCCCACTGCACACCAGCAGCTGTGTGGAAACTGGGTTTCCAAATGCAGTTACATGGAAGATCATCCAATTGGTTAATAGAGCTGGTTAACCCGGATGAAAACTCAGTATCTCTACAAACATTCTTCCACCACCCATCCCTATATGTTCAGATCCAAAGACCTAAAATCTGTTGATCAGAGGTCAAATTCCCTGCAGAATAGAGATGTCCGGGAGGGCAGGTGTGTGTAGGCCCGCCTTAAGCTAGCTGACTCTTCAGGCATGCCTTCCTCTGTGATCCTGAGGGTGAGAGCGTGGGCAGCCTGCAGGGCAGGTGAGGAGAGACAGGCGGATGGATAGAGAGCCTGTGTTTGTAGACTCTGCCTCCGGTCCCACAGGCAGGCACATCGGGCCTGGGAACTTTGGGAAGTGGCTCCTAACCAAAAGACGGACGTTCTCTGTTTTCAAGTAAATTCTCAACTCCAACTTCCCAGCAGCATACTTTAATTTCAGATATTCACTGTGATATTTGAAAATAAGGCTAGAAAAGCTGTTTCCAGACAAATTCCATGTGTCTGTTGATTATACCACCATTCCACTCTAAACAAGTATAATTTTTACTTAAGATGGTCTAACTTTAGGCTTGGGGGAATTTTTTCTTTTTCTAGTCAGGCTTGGTGGTGAATGCCTATAGTTCCAGCTGAGGCAAGAGGATCACTTGAGCTAAGGAATTTGAGGCCAGCCAGGGCAACATAGGCACACGCGTGCGCGCGCACACACACACACACACACACCCTTAAAAATTACACTCAGAATTTGGCTGGTGGAAAAACTGTGATGGGTGGACAGCTTAGCCTTGCATTGGCTTAGAAGCCAGAGCCAGGAGCCACAGAGGTTTGTGGAAGGAGCTGCAGGGCTTGGAAGGGGATAGAACCATGGAAGGGCAGCAGCCCCTGAGCAGCCCATGGCCTTGGAAAAAAATCCCCTCCCTACGTGCCTAGTCTGCTTTCAGGAAGTCTTGGCTCCATTGTTTGAGGGCCTGGGAAGTATTAGGATATTTATTTGAGTAGTTAGGAATTTTCTGATTTGGATTTTTTGGGAATCTCTGACCATCCTTATTCAGGGTGATGTAGAACCCATAGTAACAGCAGTAATGATAGCCACCAGGGACCTGACCACCAAGCAGAGCCCAGCCCTACACGCCCTGTCCAGCCTCTGTCACTGTCTGTGAGGCAGGTATGACAGGGTGGCAGGCATAGTCTCCATCTTCCCAGTGAAAGTAGAAGTTGACTTGTTTGAAGTCCTGGGTCTGGGAGTCCTGTTGACACCCAAGTGTGGACTCCTGACCGCTGTCCCTGGAAGGCTGGGGAAATAGGAAGTCTGTTGTAAGCAAAGAGGAGGGGACCCGGGTTGTCCTAAGAGTAGTGGAGTGGACGGAGTTGTGCATAAGCCCAGGCCTACTTCTGAGCCCCCTTCTGTTCTTGTCAGATGAGTCCTAAAGAGGAAGAGGAGTCTTATATTCTCCTTCTACAGGCTGTGGCCCAGGGCTGGTTAGCCCCTGATGGGTTGAAAAGGGTGAAAGTTCCTCTTTGCCCCAACCCAGAATAAGTTCACAGCACATGGGCCTTACCTGAGTTCTCTCCTCCTATCAGCTCTCGCTGGGTAGACCTGGCCAGACACTGATTGGTCTGCCTGGGCAGGTTTACCTGCCATGGTGCACCCCTATGGAAGGGGCTCACACACTATGATTTCTTACAGACCAAGTGTCACCAGTACTGGCCTGATCCCCCGGATGTTATGGACCACGGCATCTTTCATATTCAGTGTCAGTCAGAGGACTGTACCATCGCCTATGTGTCCCGAGAAATGCTGGTCACAAACACTGAGGTAAGCACTGACCTGAGGGAGGACAGTGCAAGACCAGGCAAACCAACACCATTCTTAGTGGGGTGGGGGCATTGGAGGAGGGATGATGGATAAACAAAATGGGTGTATCCATACAGTAACCAGTATTAGGCCCGACAAAGGGAGAACATTCTGAGAGAGCTGCAGTGTAGAAGAACCTTGAGGACATTATGCTAAATGAAATAAGCTGGTAACAGAAGAGCAAATGCTTAGGATCCCATTTATGTGGACTACCTAGGATATCAAATTCATACAGCCAGAAAAGAAAATGGCAGTTGCCACAGCCTAGGGGGTAGGAAGAAGCGGGAGTTACAGCATAATAGGTACAGAGTTTAGGTGATAAAATGAATTTCTGGAAATAGATGGTGGTGATGAGGACAACATTGGGGATATGCGGAATGGCCCTGAAATTTACATTTAAAATGGTTAAGTGGCAAACATAATGTTCTATGTCTCTCACCACAGTCAGTATCCAAGAGGCCGCATCTGCAGCCACATGGCAAGTACCATAGCAGCACTGGGAAGGAATCACTGTGCCAGAGGTCAGGAATGCTGTCCTGCCGGTGTGGCCTGAGGCATGAGGAGGACAGAGGAGATAACAGGCCATAGCAGAGCTACACACAGTGGGGAGAAAGCACAGTGGGGACAGGGCCACCACTGGATTGACTCACCCAACCCACTCCATCTTCCACAGACTGGGGAAGAACACACGGTGACACATCTGCAGTATGTGGCGTGGCCTGATCATGGTGTGCCTGATGATTCCTCAGACTTCCTGGAATTTGTGAGCTCTGTGAGGTCCCTGCGGGTGGATGGTGAGCCAGTCTTAGTTCACTGCAGGTATATACTATGCTTTGTTCCACTGTGCTTTATTTTAATACATACACCCCTTGGGAAAGGCCTGGAGGACCTAACCCATCCTAAATCCCATCAAATCATGTGCCCTTACAAAGCTTAATTTTACTTTATTTTCATAACAATTCTAAAGATTTGGAATTTTCTGGATAAACATTTGGGGATAGCCTAGAGCTGGAGAGGAATGTCTTACCTACATCTTCCCCCTCTCTTCTTAAGTCTGCTGGCCTGCACACCAGATGTGAACAAGAAAGGGAGGAGGGTTTACACGGAGTGGTGGCTGGATCTCTGTCTATGGTCATTAAAGCCCCAGCCTCAGGATCAATGAGAATGGAGTTTTTCTACCAGTCTAGGACCACCCAGACTGTGTGCTTTGTATTACTTGGTTTTGTTTTGCTTTATTTTGTTTCATCTCGTTTTGTTTCTTGTTTGGTTTCTGTGGGATCATCATGAACCCAGGGCTTTCACACTGCTTGAGACAGGGTTTGAGATAGGGTCTTGGTCATTTTCCCAGGCTGGGCTCAAACCTGCATTCCTTCTACCTTAGCCTCACAGAGGGCTGGGACTCCAGGCAAGTGCCACCACATCTGACTGTACTTTGTACTGTTGAAGACCAGTGCTCCTTCTGAGTAACCGTGAGCACTGGTTAGAGGCCCAGCTGGGCACTGCAGAATTACTGCCTGAGCAGATCCCAAGACTCTGCCTCTCTCCCCTTTCCAGTGCTGGAATAGGTCGAACTGGTGTGTTGGTCACTATGGAAACAGCCATGTGCTTAATTGAGAGAAATCTGCCGGTTTGTCCATTGGATATTGTCCGAAAGATGCGAGACCAGCGTGCCATGATGGTACAGACATCAGTGAGTAAAAAACCAGTAATTAACATGGTAGCCATTGTCTGCACTTCCCGAGTGCTTGCACTGAGCCACGCTCCAGGGAAGAAGACTCTGTGGGTCAAGAGACTAAGTCCCTTGTCCAAGGTCTCAGAGCTTGTCAGGTGACCCACAGCTCTATGGAGTCCACACCCATCCGGTGCCTGAGTTTGGTTGCATGTGACATCTGCCTTGACCTTTGTCCATTGGAGTAGGCTCTTTCCCCTCTACCCCATGCCTGGGTACTTGGCACTGCAGGGGTAGTTAAGGGGCTGTCTTCAGGTTTGCCCAGAATTTCCAAAGCCTCAATGTGATATAGAAAGAGCATGATTCAGGCTCTTCTATGTATCAAGTGACTTTTGGATAATCTCTTAACTTCTCTCCAAGTCTGTTTCCCCATCTTCAAAATATGGGAGAGCATCCACATTTATTCATTCAGCAAATAATCGTGCAAGTAGAAGAGACCCTAGAGCATATCTAATGACCTGAATTAGTCTGTTACAAATCTCAGCAGCAGTAGGGCAAGTTGAGGGGTGTCTGAGAACACACCCCAAGTGTCTCAAGCAGGCTTTGGAAGGTCAGGAAGACTTCCTGGAGGAGTAGACTCTGGAGTACAAACAATGCTAAAGTTGATGCAGAGGAGTCAAAAAGTGGAGCTCAGTGTCCAAGCCAGCTCTTTGTCCTCACAGGCTCGTGGACAAAGTTTATAAGATTTTGCAACGAGACTGTGAATCCTTATAGTTTCATATTCATATCCAGGAAATGTGGCAAAGAGGAGAAAACCAGCTTCTGTATTTAAGGCCATTCTCTTTCCCATTTTGTAGTATGAAGACCTCATTCGTGGTTAAAAAGAAAAATCCGTCACCTTGTAGATATTCCTAGCAAATCCATCTAAATGCTCTTGTTTTACCCTGTTCACACTTGTAAAATGCCCTTCTCAGGTGTTTGTTGTTAATACAGTCAGCCCCCTGCACCTGAGTAAGAAGGACAGGAGCACCTTGGTTCACAAGCGCCTCTGGGTGCAAGCAGTTCAGTTCAAATGCTGCATTAGGTGACAAATAGATCACAGCCACCATTACCACACAACACAAAATAGCCATCTTCCCCCAAATCATAAAACAGACTAAGTTCTTAAACTGAAGTACCACTGTATTGGAAAAACATGTCTGTACAGAGCATGTTCAGACTTTTCATGTCCTTATTCCCGATACAGTATGATAGGACTGTGTTTGTATTATAAGTGTCTAGAGATACAGACATACAGGAGAACATGTAAGAGACATGAGAGGCTGTGGGTGTGGGTATCTGCGGGTGACCCTGGAGCCACATGCCCACGGCTCTTGAGAGATGAATCTATTTATAAATAATGTATCCTGCAGAGTGCCTTTCGGTGGTCTCCCTTGTTAAGACAAGGCCCAGATGTCTTGCCCATGCAAATGGTCCCCCACAGCCCGATCCAGCCCATTCCTTCTCCCCACACACAGGCCTGGGTGTTCCAGGGCAGGACTGGGGGACTGTGCCCACACTGCTCAGTATGGGCGGTGTTCATCAGGGCTTCCATACTTCCACTTACATGAGGAGCCATGATTCCATTTCCTTTGCTCCTTCCCCATCTTGCCCAGATGTCCACTCCTCTCCCACCCCATTTCCATCACGCTCTCCCCATGTCTGTCTGTCTGTCACCCCATGCAGGAGTTAGGAAGCCACAGGTTCATAGATGTGTGGCCTCCACTCTTCCCTGGGATGCACCCTAGAGTTGGCATTCAGGGAACAGCTAGGGACAATGGGAAGATGCATGTGCACTATGAGATGGTGTTCCTAAAGCCCGTGGACTTGATAGCTGTCTCTCCTTTTCCAGAGCCAGTACAAGTTTGTATGTGAAGCGATTCTTCGTGTGTTTGAAGAAGGCATAGTCCAGATGCTGGATCCCAGTTAGGACAACTGTGAAGCATTCATTCCTTGTCCTTAAGGGCACCCTTCTCAGGAGAGGGGGTCATGCCCTCCTCTGGAAGCCACAGGAGGAACCGGGAGCTGTGGGAAGGGAATGAGCATGTTTGAACTCAGCACTTTAAGTTTCTGTAGAAAAGGTATTGTGTACATAGCTCTAGATACGCATGCAACTATGGCTTCCTTTAAGCCCAGGGAAAGAAGCACAAGGGGATTTCACATGGGACCTGTCCCACCACCTTCCTCCCTACATCTTACCATGTCAGCCATGCTTGGGCACCTGGGAGGGTTCACCTGCAGCGCTGCACACTTCCCAGAAGCCAGGTAGCATGGCTGTGTGAGGTTGCTCAGGTATTGGAATGTGTGCAGGGGGCTGGGGGCTGAGTGTCCCATGCTTGCAAATGGAGCAGAGCAGCTCAGTCAGCCAGCACCCCTACACCAACACAGGGCACCAGGAACCAGGCTGAAGGACAAGCAGTGCCTCTGCTGTCCTCCCCTGCATCTCCAGCCTGGCCCTGTCAGTACTTGGTTCCTGGGGCTGCATCCAGAGCAGCCTCTTCTCCTCAGTTCTGCCCCTCTGTTCACACCCTGCCAGCCCAGCGAACGGTGTTTGTCCAGGCAGCTCCAGCCGGGACTCTGGGTGATGCTCTGTCTTAGCTCCAGAAGCAGGTGTGTCTCTTGCCTTCGCTAGCCTCTTACTGTACAGTCAGACTCCAGGACTGGATTCCCCCCGACTACTGAATCTACTACATGGATTGCTGCTACTTCATGCTATCACACTCAAGACAGGAGGATTTTCCCAAGTGGGAGGGGATGATAGCATTCAGAATTTTTGGCCCTTCTGAGAAAAGACCTGCTAGTAAGTGACTGTGGGAAACCCTTCTTCTCAAGGGTTCCCTGTGGGTGTGTACATGTGTGTGAGTGTGCGTGCGTGTGCCCTTCCACGGTGAGTGTTTCTCAAGATTCCTAACTTAACTCAAATTACCATTGAGTTTATATAAGAAATGAGTCTCTGTACAGAAGAACAAATGTGTGTATTCACCCTCAGTTACAATGGTCTCCATTTCATTTCAGAGGAGAGGATCAAACTGTCTGAACAGAAACACAATTCGATGTTAATTTATTCGAAGTATCCCAGGATTTTGATTGTTCTAAAGAATTCTGCTTTTGTGAATACTGTGTTAAATTTTTTTAAAAATTTGTGACAGGATTGTAGCAAAGTATTATTTAAGGAAAATAAATTACATCAACATTTTAACGTGGTATTTTTAAATAGCAGTTTTTGTGTATCCAGAAAAGGAAGCTAAGCCAGTTCGTTAACGGTATATATTGCAAATTTTCATGGCCTGCATAGATGAAACCATTTTAATATTAGGAAACTCTGGACCAATTAAAAATCAGTTCCTGGTTTCAAGAATTGATAATAAGGACCTCCTGAAAGGGCCAGGTTTCTAATAGAGGTTCTTTATCTGCAGATCCAGTGTATTTACTTGCACACTTGCTGTCTTTGCCCTGCATGTATTTTACCGCTAAATGGCCTGGGTAGAAGGAGGCTATTCCCAATGTGGAACCCTATGCTGTATGGCACAAAAATAATGCAGAGTCTAGCACTGCGGCCTGGGCGATTGAGTTCCTGTTCCCAGTCAGTGCTAGCTAGCTCCCACCCGAGACACCTAGGCGCTGGACCTCCATTTCCTTTACCTATAAAATAAGAAAAAACAGTACTTAGCTATTCAAGTTGAACACAGAAACAGAGGAAGTTCACGCCATGAATGTGAATTTTCTTCAGTTGGAGTGTAAACTGACACTGCAATGGGATAGGTTACTTGGAAAAGCTGATTTTTCCCATGGTCAGCCCCAAAACACATCAGACAGAAGTAAAGTCCAGTAAGGTTTTGTGAGGTGAGAGAAAAATGTTCTTCTAGGACAGAGCAGAAGCACAAAGAGTGTTGCAGCAGCACCTTTATTCAGTTGACCCAGAACAAAGTGCTCTCCGCAAGGTACAAGAACAAAGAGGGTGCTGGCATAAATTTAAATGCCATCCAGATGTTTAGCAAATTTAGCCACTCAATAAAAATATATCACCACTCTATGTATAAAAGCTTGAGAAGTGTAAATGTCTTTAAAGATGGTGTTTTTTTTTTTTTAAGCAAATTGTTTAATGTGGCTGCAGAAACACTGTCATTATGGTTACATTCTAAAAAGCTTGCCCAAGGTTCAGCCAGCCTTTGCTGCTGCTGCGCAGACCAGCAATTCAGACCCTACAGATGTTGCCAGAAAGAAAATCCATGAAATCCTGGGAAGAACAAAACAAGAAAATTATCTAAAGGAACAAAATATCCACGTAGACACTATATATATTATCATTAAAAATCCATAGCTCCCTTAGAAATGTCTGTAATTCTTAAGAAATTCTTTTTTCATCCATCTCAGAGTTGGGGTAAATATTTTGCCTGAGAAATTCGGTTGGATGTGACTGGAGAAGACATTTCTGGTGCTTTTAGGAGATCTAATTAGATGCCCTGATGTGCAGACTTAATTGGAATGAGAGGGCCCCGCTGGTGTCACTCTAGAACCTGCACTCTCTGGTTTGACTTAGAAAAAGATTCAGCTCAGTTTGGTTGGGCTAAGGAGGTGGGGTAGTTGAATCCCAAACCGGTGCCTGTCTTTCATTTCTTGCCACGATAATTCATACTTAAGTATGCTCTGAGATGAGTGTAGAGGCTATTGCTCCTCTGTGGTTGTTTGGCCTGTTTTTGTCCCTCAGACATTAGTATTTAGGCAGCAATATGTAGCGAAGAGCTCCTGTGAGAAGCAGGACTTGGCCAGATCTGGACTTGGCAAGATTCATCGCCCTCAGTTTTCTCATATGGAAAAGGGGGTGATTACACAGGAGGAGGGAAGCTCAAGGCCTGCCGTTCTGGGAGTCCGATGCTCCCGAGAAGCAAAACTGACCCTTCATCACATTGCCACAACTGCCAGAGACAGATGTATCTCGCTTCTGCGGCTCTGCCCTGTAAGGTTGTCCCTCAGGCCTTGGCATTGTTGGATGGGAAAACGAGGACTGCCGCCCTCTGACTCTCTTCTGTCTGCCGAGCTAAGAGCAAGGTCTGCGAAGACGGCCACGCCTCCGTGATGACGTCAGTCGGGCAACCCAACTGGTCCCGGGCTGGGTTAAGCCCGCCCCGTTATGGGTTCAGGCACTGTTTGGAGCAACCAAAGGATTGGGTGAAGCCATGTTGTTTTGAAAAGTATCTTAATTGATCAGCAATATTTTTCTGTAAATTTGGAATGTTTTTCATTCTGACCTGTTCTGTCAGTGACTACTGAAAAACAGTTTAATCAATATAAAAACACTCAAGCTATGCAACACTATTATTGTCTGTTGACATTTTTTTTTTCTGAGAATGTCAAATTTCTGTAAATGTTTTAATTTTGTTTTGTTTTTCCTCGCACCGCCTCCTTGGGAGGAAAGTGCCCTGTCCCTCTGACCCTGCCTCCAGTTAGGAATGTGGCCTCCCTCACATGCTGCCTGTCCCTGCCTTCCCTTGGGTGGTCAATTGTAGACCAGAATTCAGTTCCACTGTTGTGACAGTGACCACTCTCATGAAGAACAAGTGTCCCCTCCATCGTTCAGGTTCCCAACGTGGCTCTGTGACCAGCAGGGCCTCAACTCTGTCCAGCATGATCTGCTGCCACCTGCAGACTACACTTTCTACTTTGAGGTCCAAGATGGCTGCCAGCCTGCTCACTTGCCAGGCAGGATGGAGGAACAGGGAGGAAAGAAACAAGACCCCTTCCCACAGGGGATGGTATGCCGTACATCCTGTTGCACAAGACTTAATGACCAATTTGAAATAAAACTGAAACCACTTTGTGATGATTTCCAATCTTTCCTGTTTGCTCTGCATGGCTTTTTATGGTCTAATGACTTAAAAACTAAAAGGCAATTATCTTTCTCACACACAAAAGCATGAGCAGTAGTGAAGTAGAAACAGAACAGCCAGGGAACACTCACCCATGGGGGGCTGAGCGCCTCCCCACACAGCTCATGGGCAGGAGGTAGCCTAGCCAGTGCAGAGCTCCTGACAATCCTCCTTGCTATCTAGAAAGGATGCCTGGTACCAACATGGCCACCTCCTAGGTGGGACAGCAGCAGATCCCCCTCTGGGGGACAGCACAGCTCATGTCACCTACCTGCGCCTAGAGCAGTGGGGAGAGGGGCACACTGGTACACTTGCACGCTTCTGGAAGGACAGACCTGTGTTTTCTTGGCAGGAAGAATTCCATGATTACAGACTCACCTAGACTCTCTGCTGAGATCTGCTGGGACCTCCTCCCTTTTAGGCAGCTGCCCTGAGGCCACCTGATGGCAGCTCAGGTGTGCAGACAACACCCTCCACCTGGCTTGTGGAGCTACCTGGTTCACACGCGTGGCGTGGCCTTACTATCTCCCACTTCAAGGTGACAGTTTATAGTAGCTGCCATTTGGAGGATGAGTTGGTGTTTCAAGACATCAAGACTCTGTAATCATCTTGAGTGCAGTCTACAGACCTCTGCATCTCTGCCTGCTGCCTGTCTAGCTTGAGCCTGTGTTCACCTCACTCTTCCAGGGCCATGTAAGCAGCTGCAGCAAGGAACAGCATTCACACTTTTTGCACCTTGTCACTGTTTCCTCTACTACTGTGACCTCATTTGGCTTGTGGTCAGCCTTCTGAGCTTTGCCACTATATAAAAACTAGGATGTCACTGCTGTTTGCCAGCCTACCAGTGCCACTAAGATATTACCACCTTTAGATGTTAATTTGCAGCATCTCATTTCTAAGTATAAAATTCTGCTCCCTTATCCTTAGATATAGCTTCTATCTTGTGGTCCAAAGTGGCTACTCTAGCTCCAGCCATTATGTCCACGTCTGGACAGTAAAAGGGGGGGGGGGAATGCTGTTCTTCTTTCCCTTTAAGGATACATTAGCCAGAACTTAAGCATATGGGCACAGCTCCCTTCTAGAAAGGTTTGGGAAAGACTTCATTGGATGGTGTGCAACATATCCAAAACTGAGAAGCTTTGTTGAAGGGGAAATGATTGCTGGGGCATAATCTGCACACACATGCACACACACACCCTGCATGTTCCTCGACTTCAGTCTACTGAAGGGCTCATGTATGAGGGGATACCCTGCCCAAGACCTTGCACATAGAAGCAAATGTAATGGTGTCATCATAGCAAGATCTACCAGCCTGAAGTTCTCAGGGACAGTGTCTGGGACATTCAGCATCTCCATCATGTATGGGAACGGTGTGGGTAAAAATTGACTCATGGCACCAACTTATGTCCTTTTCCAGGGACCCCAGAGCCCTCCCCATCCCCAGCATCCAAGGTCTCACATCCTTGCCTTGTTAGTCCCAGAGCCTCCAGATTCCTCTTCAGGGCAGTGAGAGTTCTCAGGCAGATTCCCCCAAAACCTGCTCCCAGACTTCCAACAGGATTGTCCATGCCAGGGGAAGAGCCACATGACGTGTGTTAGGACGCAACTACTCAGACACACCCAAAAGAAGAGATGGCTGGGCACAGGTGCCTAGAGGGGGAAGCTGGGGACAGCCAATCTCAAGGTTGGGCACCTGGGTGGATGTGGTGCCACAAACAAGAGCTAGGTGTGGGGAAGATGGTAGATTGCTCTGTAGGCCTGATATCTGACATTAACTGCATGAGAGTCTCAGCAGATGTGTCTGAACCTGAAACTATTGCTCCAGACACTTCCCGGTAATGAGCACCTCAGCCACAGTAGGTGACTTGTTAGTATTCTGGTTTTAATCCATCCAAATGATTTCTCTAATCAAATCCAGCTATTAAAATAACCTCTCTCGGGTAAATACGCAGTAGTCTCAGTCTCTCAGACTGCTGTAACAAAGTCCCCTGCTAGCAGTAGGCATTTATTTCTTTGCTTAAACAGACCCTTTTTCCCCAACCAGAAGGCTGTGAGACCTGAATGTGCACTTCCTGTTGTCTCGGGCCGGCCCACGTGGCAGTCACTAACAAGTCCAAATGGGAGAGCAGAGCCTCTCTGGAATAAACCTCCTGGCTTGGGGCTCAGGCGCTCGCCCTCATTCGATGCCAGGCAGACAGGCACGCAGGAGGAGCTGTCTTTCCACTTCCTGCTCCCCCTTCCCCTGTAGCAACCACAGTCTTCTGGAGAAGGATGGCCAGGAGCAAAGTCAAATCCCAGCTCAGAGCTGTCCCTGAGGACCATACTGGCAGTGCTCCAGAGCCTGGAGCGCGCCATGAAATGCCAGGGCCCCTGCAGCTGCCCACTCACCATAACAAGCCAGTATGACCTCTGCCACTTGGCGTCTCTGAGTTTCCAGTGGAGTCAGGGACAGATGCTGGGCCTTGGTACTGTCTGTTCACATGCACCTGCCTAGCTGCAGGGGACACTGGGAACATGAGTGTTTGTTCCTCTGGATGCTGTAATGTGACATGTGGGAAGTGATCTCTGCCTGCTGAGCCAGGGGCATCTGAGAGAGCAAAACCAAATATCCCCTGGAGCCCATCTCATTTGCTATCCAGTGTCCTTCTCATGCTCCTAAGCCCTAATGGTGCTCCAGCCCGGCATAGAATGTCCATTCCTACACAAGAGAAAGTCTGTTCCCCAAAGGAACCAATCAAAACTTGTCAGCGACATCTGCAATGGCAAACCCCTGATCTCTGGCCTCCTTTTTGGTCACATTCCTATCTTATTTTCTTATACTCTTCATGCACTCAATTATATATGACAACTATCAGCACACTCAACACAAGTAGTGAAAGAGAAAAGAAACATGATATAATTTTAAATCTACATGGCACAAGCTGGAGAAAGCCCAGGAGAACCATGGGGAATGGAAGGCCTTGCCTGCATCAGGGGCCTTCCTGGACTTCGTGCCCAGTGTGAGGTCTCTTGGGGCTCCCGAGAGGAACTCGGCTCTTAGATTGCACTGAGAGTGGCCAGGGTGGGTCCACATGAGAAACCCGCTTGGCAAACTGAGAACACGAGATGCTAATCGAGGCCAGTAAGTCAGGTTCCTAAACAAAAGGCATGCTATTTATAAACACCCATAAAAAAAAAAAAAAAAAAAAAAAAACCTTAAAAACAGCCAAGAAAAGCCTGGAGAAATACATTCTAAAATAAGTTACAGCCCCACCATCAGCCACTGCTTGCATCTAACTAGGTTGTCGCTGACTTCAAAACGCTTGCAGGTATTCTGCTCTGCCACACTCAGGCAGCATACAGGAGCTCCCCGTGGGGTGCTGGGATGGGAGAGCTGAGATTTCCCTTCTAGGTGCCTCACCTTTCTCCCTACTTACGGATTCTGGCCTCTGTGAGCTCTCCCAGGCAGATTGTTTTATCATTTTATTTTCAAGCTTTCCTCATTTACTTGAAAGAAAGCCTCTGCTCTCTTTCCTTCATACCGTCAAGAACTGAAAGCTATACTCATAGCAGGCTTCTAAAGAATGACCCCAAAGGATAAACAACACACAAGTCCATCAGCTGGGGTTGAGATAAGTAAAATATATATTTGCACCGAGGGACATTATTGGGCCACGAGGAGGAATAGAGCAGTGATACATGCTTGCTACAACATGGGCATCCCCTGAAGATGTCGTTAAGGGAAGAAGCCCTCACAGAAGGCTTCATCATTCCACGCATGCATTGCACAGGAAAAGCAAGACACAGTGGATCAAGCTAGGTGTGATGACACACACCTGCAGTCCCAGCACTCAGGGAGACTGAGACAGGAGGATCCAAAGTTCTGAATAAATAAATAAATAAATAAATAAATAAATAAATAAATAAATAAATGGGAGAGGTAGGCTTTGTGCTCAATCCCCAGTTCTACAAATACAAATTAATTAATTGAATTAAACCAACAGTTACAGGGGCTGAAGGAAGGAGGGTAGGTATGGAGTTTCTTTTCTGAGTGAGAATGTTTTAGAAAGTAGGAATGGTAGTGAAATGTTACGAATGTGGACAAATAGCCCTAAATTGTACACTTTGAAAAGGTACGTTTTATGGGAATTTAGTCCCAATTTTTAAAAACAGGTGAGTTTAAAAAAAATCATCAACCTACACGAGGGAAACCTTACATTGTTCCAAGTGGGAGATTGTTTACAGACGTCAAAGGCCTAATGTACCAACCCACTAACCAAAGAACTCCATTTCTGGGGATCTGCCCTCTGACCTAAGAGGGTAACTCAGGTTTTGTTTTCTGACATCAAGACAGTTTTAATATGGCTTTACAGCAAAACAGTTTTATAATAGTGCCTTTTTTTTTTTTTTTTTTTTTTTGGTTGATACTGAGAATTGAACCTACTGGCTTGGAACACCCTAGGTAAGCAA